CTGCCTTAGCCTGTTGGACTTCTTCGGTTTCAACTGGGACACCGTTGGAGATGACCGGGACATGTTCTGGAGCAACGTTGTTGTTGTAGTTGTTATTGTTGTTGTAATATTGGGGTTGGTTGTAGATTCCACGACGGTGACGGTACAGAACGTGGTTGTTGCGAGCCAAAGCTTCGGCGTGAGCGGCGAAATGGTTGATCTTAGCGGCAACAACTTCAGGAGTCTCCAGAGGAACAACCGAGGATAATCCGTGAACAACTGGGGTGGCTACAAAGATGACAACATGAACAAATCTCCATTCCTAAGTTGAGCGTTCAATTTGTGCACGAATGCTCAGCCCTAGCTTGTTGCACTGCAGCCTCATTACGCCGCTGTAGCCGAAGCCGCAGCTCGCAACGGTTACGCAACTGCTCCATTCCAAGGAGGATACTCCGCGCCAGCTCAGGCCGCCCCTCAGTACGCCCCTGCCAACCATCACGTGCAATCCAACAGCGGTTTCCAACCCGTCGACACCGTGGAAGTGCAGCAAGCCAGAGCCGCCCACTTCGCCGCCGTCGCCGATGCTGAAGCCCGCGAGAACAAGTACTCAGCTCCATCTTACGGACAACAATACCAACATCAACAACACGTTCCATCTTACGTACCGCAACAACAATCTTACGTTCCTCAACAACAACAATCTTACGTTCCTCAACAACAATCTTACTACGGACATCAGCAACAACAACAACAGCAACCTTCTTACCAGAACGGTCTTCATATTCCCGTCATCTCCAACGGTGTCCCAGTTGAAACTCCGGAAGTCCAGCAGGCTAAGGCCGCCCATTTGGACGCGTACGCCAAGGCTTCCGCCCAATCCCAAACTCACTCTCACTATTGATTCACTCTTCGTGGCTTATATAATGTTTAGTATTTCGATAAGAAAAGAAAAATCAAAAAGGCTGTCCATAGTTCAGAGTTTCTAAACGCAATAGCATCTATTGCAAGCAGATAGCTGAATTTACATATTTGTATTCTCTGTACATTATTCGCTCGAAGAGCATCAATATATAACAAAACAAATAAATTAATTAATAAAAAGAAAATATATTTAAAACCAAACACAATAGTTTTTTTTTAATCGTTTTCTGATGAAATTTCGGAGATTTAAGTACACACAATTTAACTAATAAATTATTGGTTAAAATATAATAGAAAAACAATAAAACTTTGATAATAGAAACAATGAAATTAACACTAATGACAAAATTGTTTTCAATCAACTTTAATGATGAAATTATTAATTAGATTATAATGTGTATTGAAAAAGTTATAAATTTGTTCATTGGTTGTAGAAAAAAATTAACAATTTTATTCATATTTTATTTAAACTTTGCTAAGTTCAGTAATTATTATCTAAATTTAACTAAAAACACAAAAAAATGGATTGTTGAATGTATTGAAACAGTTACAAATTTGTTAATTTTTTTTTGTAGCAATTTTATTTCTATTTTAATTAAACTTTGTTGAAATTAGTAATTGAAATGTATATTTCACTAAATACATCAAAATAATTATTGAAAAATTTAACATATTTAAGCTTTGAACTTTATTGGAGATAAATTAGTCAAATAATTATAATATGTATACAAAAGTTTTATAGAATTTCAAATTTGTAAATAAAGTAGAAAGGTTTAAATTAATTGGAAATTGTATCATTAAATTATACAAATTACGTTTAAAAACATATTTAAAAACGAGAAAGACATTTTTTTAGAGCAAATTCTTAAAATATGAACGTAATTAGTTACAATTGTTTTTTATTTTTTTACTTAATTTTCTTTATTATTTCTTCATGTTAATAAATAACATCAGTTGCAAGAAAAAACATGATTGCAAATCTACTTAAAATACAATCGTTTTTAAACATAATATACACATAATTAATTTCAGAACTTGATTTTTGATTTTTCTGTATTTTTTATAAGAATTCCTTTCAATTTCTATAACTTATAATTAAAATGTAAATCTATAAATTATTCAACAAATTAACAGAAAGAACCAAGTCAAGTTTAGATATTTTGTAATAAAATCAATAAAATCACTGTGAAACTCATTTTTTTTATATAATAAGTTATAATTCCGGTTACTTTAATAAAATTCCTTTTAATTGAAAGGTTTTTTTTTTAATCATTTTTCTGAAGAAATTTTGGAGATTTAAGTACACACAATTTAACTAATAAATTATTGGTTGAAATATAATAGAAAAACAATAAAACTTTGATAATAGAAACAAAGAAATTAACAGTAAATACAAAATTGTTTTCAATCAACTTTAATGATGAAATTATTAATTGGATTATAATATGTATTGAAAAAGTTATAAATTTGTTCATTGTTTGTAGAAAAAAATTAACAATTTTATTCATATTTTATTTAAACTTTGCTAAGTTCAGTAATTATTATCTAAACTTAACTAAAACCACAAAAAAATAGATTGTTAAATGTATTGAAACAGTTACATATTTGTTCATATTTAATAAAATGGAAAGGTTTCAATTAATTGGAAATTATATCATTAAATTATTCAAATTACGTTTAAAAACATATTTAAAAAGGAGAAGGACATTTTTTTAGTGCAAATTATTAAAATATGAACGTAATTAGTTACAATTTTTTCTTATTTTTTTACTTAATTTTCTTTATTATTTCTTTATTTTAATAAATAACATCAGTTATAAGAAAAAAATATGATTGCAAATCTAAAGTATATTTATGTTTTCTTAAAGAATTTAATGAAAATCTACTTAAAATACAATCGTTTTCAAACATAATATACACATAATTAATTTCAGAACTTGATTTTTTATTTTTCTGTATTTTTTATAAGAATTCCTTTTAATTTCTATCACTTATAATTAAAATGTAAATCTATTTATTATTCATAAAATTAACAGAAAGAATCAAGTCAAGTTTAGATATTTTGTAATAAAATCAGTAAAATCAGTAAAATCACTGTGAAACACGTTTTTTTTTTATAATAAGTTATAATTCCGGTTACTTTAATAATATTCCTTTCAATTGAGAGAATTTTATAAACATCTTTTTCACTCAAACTGAAAATAATACAATTTCAATTGTAACAAAAAAGTTATAAAATTTAACATATTTGAACTTTGTACATTATGAACAGATGTTTAATTATAAATAAAAAACATTGATTTCCTATTAAAATCTATATACAAGTAATAATTATAACTAATTAACTATAATTAACAAAAATTTCAAATCACATTTTCTAATAATTCCAACACAATATTTCATCGAAATATAATTGAAATGTTTTTGGTCCATTAATTTTCAATTTTCTTTTTGCTGTCTCTGTATATAATTAAATATTTCTTCATGTCTTTCCGCTACATCTATTCAAATAATCACAAAAATTTAATCGTAAAATATGTAACTAAACTTTTTCGTTTTAGAAACGTATAAATAATGTTATTGAAATCGTGCAATCACAGAAATCTCGATCCGTTCCGAAATGCGTCGACAATGAACAACGTTACACGAAAAACTACAATACGATTACGTCATTCACTTGTCCGTCTGTCTGTATTTTATGTGCTAACAAATCTAGTCCACCTTGTATATTAGTTGTTTATACTATAAACAAGTTATATATAAAATTATTGTCATTGGTTTACTTTTTTGTCTTTAGCTATTCCATATTTTTCAAATTAACTATTTTTAATTGGTTAGTTTTGAAATTTTATAAAACTGTATTCACTTATTGATATATTACATACTAATAATTAAACATCTGTTCATAAAGTTCAAATATGTTAAATTTCAATCATATTAAAAAAAATACTCTTTACAAATGTTAAAATACAAACAATTTTTAGAAAAAAAAAAACAACCAGAACATCATAATTAATTACTCCAGGAATTTTTCATATTTTTCTTATCGGAAATTCCAAGATTTGTAACTAAAATTATATTGCATAGAACGTATTACAATACAAAACATCCTGAATTTGATGGAGATACATACAGACTTTATATTAATAGTTTTATTGGATGTCATAAATGCAGGTACAAATAAAATTCATACTCATTTTAATAATGACTTTTCGGTAACAATAAAATAGATTATGATACCTGCTTACATGAACCTACAGGTAATAAGGCAATACAAAAAGGTATCAGTTGTATTTGGCAGATTAATATAAGGGCTTTGAAAATAGTTTAGCACAGTTTATCGCAAACATTCGTTGGAGTAACAACAGCCAGATACTTAAAATGTATATTCACAAAGAAATTAGATCAATCCGAGGAAGAATTGAAGAGTATGTAGAGGGTGAAAATAGAAACTATTTGCAGGATGTAGCAATGGTGAGACAATTACAGATGTTAAATAATATCGTATTAAATCAAAATGGTAAAATAGTGGCAGAAACGGTTACATTTGTGGACGAGTTATGTGAGAAAACCTACGGCATTATTCAAAAGACAGCATTCAAAGTCCTTAGAGAACTTGTTTTAAAAAAAGAAGGTTTCAATAATATCAGGAAACGAATTAAGCGGGTTATGTCTACTGACAATCATAAAGTGGTACGAAGCCAAATGGAAGAAGAAAGTTGCAGAAGAGAAGCGGAATATAATTTTCGAATGAGTTTACTGCAACAGGAACACGACGAAAAAATGAGGGAAACTTTGGAGGTAATGAAACAGAAGCAGAAACAGAGTGATGTACAAATTAAGACCAAGGAAGAACAATCGGAAAGGGAGAAGGAGTTGGACTTACAAATTGCGAATATGAGGAAAGTGCAAAAAGAAAGAGAGGAAAAGGCTCGTGAAGCTAAAAATGAAGAGAAGAAAAGGGAACTAAAATGGAAAGAAGACAAAAAATCGGAAAGGGCGAAGGAGGAAAAGGCTCAAACAGCTAAAAATGAAGAGAATAAAAGGGAACTAAAACGGAAAGAAGACAAAAAATCGGAAAGGGTGAAGGAGTTGGACATCCAAATTGCAAATATTAGGAAAGAGCAAAAAGAAAAGGAGGTAAAGAAACAGAATGATGTACAAATTAAGACCAACGGAGAAAAATCGGAAAGGGAGAAGGAATTGGACTTACAAATTGCAAATATGAGGAAAGAGCAAAATGAAAGAGAGGAAAAGGCTTGTGAAGCTAAAAATGAAGAGATGGAAATGAAACGCAAGAGGAAAGAAGAGGAAGACAAAATATCGGAAGAAGAAGCGAAACAAATCGATGAGATGTTGTTACAAACAGAGAACGATTTAGCAGACATGATTTTACAAATAGAACAAAATTTGTTCAATATATAATTAGCATTTCTTGTAAATTTGATCTATTTTTTCTATTTAATATATATTTTCTATAAAAAGCTAAATTTTCGTATTACATTTATTTTTTCTCATATTTCAGGAGTAATGTAGTACTACAATTATAATGTCAACGAACGTCAACGAATTGCAAAAAAATGATTAAATATTTAAAAACAAATTAATTTGTTATTTTTATGAATATTTTGGCAATAACGCTTATCGTTAATTTTTTTCCCATTAAACTCTCCATTAGTCTAGAACGCTTTATCACCATCTTCAAGGACTCACTCAACAAATCTAATCCATATTAGTTGTTTATAATATGAACAAGTTATATATAAAATTATTATTTATTGGTTTACTTTTTTCTCTTTAGATATTCAATATTTTTCAAATGAACTATTTGCAATTAATCTAAGTAGTACATTTATAAGTTTTAATTGGTTAGTTTTCATTATGTTAACCAATCAAACTTTTTCAAATTATAAAAATATTTTGTAAAAAAAATAATCAATTTGATGAAATACACTGAGATTTGTTTAGATTATAGAAAATATTTCATTAATACAACATCATCGAATTACAAAATTTAAAATTATTCATAGAAATCGTATATAAATTTAAAGATGGTTTTTTATTTGAATTCACATTTTTTTTGTGACTATGTAACATTATTACCATGAAGAAATAATAAGGAAAATTAAGTAAAACAATTTAAGAAACGTGAAAGAATTATAAGTAAAAACAATCAAATTTTAAAAATTTGTGTTATTTTGATTTTGGGGGAGTTCTGAATAACCGTGGAGGACATAATTCGAAGATGATTTCTGGAGAAGGATTCGGA